CCTTCATGTCCTTTCCATGCTGGGACCCCAGGGCTGGAGGAAGAATTGCAGGGGAATCTCTCCAGAGCCAAGCAGAGGAGCAGAATCCCTCCCTGGACCTGCTGCCCACGCTGTGGGATCAGCCCAGGACACAGATGGCTTTCTGCCATTCCAGCCCTGGCAAAGCTCAGGGGTGATCCCTTCGGGGAGGTGATGGCCATGCAGCTCTGCTGGCAAGATCTGAGGATGGAAGGACCTCCTGAACCCCATCCTTCCCAAGTGTTTCCAGTTCCTGAGCTCAGGCAACACTCTGTGTGTGATGCAGAGCTGTCAGCACCCCTACACTGATCCTGCAGAGCTGCCCCAGCCACAGAAGTCTGCTCAGCTCCCTGGATTAAGATAAACTGCCAAAACACCAGCCCAGCCTGGGCAGGGGTCTGGCTGTGACCAGTGTTGTGTGGCCATGCAGGGGCTCGGGGTGGTGACCACAGAAGTGTCACTGGCATCCCTCCCATGCCTCTGCCCCAGAGGGGTCCCTGTGTGGGACATGTTGGCTTTGTACATTAGTGGATTTTCATTAAGCTTGTTTTACACTCCAGTGGTGGTTTTGGTGTGGTTTATTTCTCCAGCAATTTGGGGAAGCCACAGGGCTCCACTCTGAGGAATCTGAGGAATCTGAGGCCATCCCTGATCAAGAGATGCAGAAAGTGCCTTTCAAGGACTGCAGTGGTTGCCTCAGTGCCCTGTGCTGATAGTGCCAACGGTGTGGGTTCAATCCCCATATGGACTGTTCCCTTCAGAGATGGATTCAGTGATCTTTGTGGATACTTTCCAACTCAGAATATTCTGTGAAATCCGTGCAATCAAATGACATTGAGGCTTAAGGGATTCAGTCGGGAGCAGTGTTTCCGTCAGCTGTGGAATGAAGGAAGGTCTGTTTGTTTTTTGCACTTTCGGGACACACCTACCCCTGGAGACCCCATGGGGATAAATCCACCTCTGTTCACACTTCATGGTGACATCACAGGGTGATCAAGGCTCTGAGAGTGGGGACTCTCCATATCTGATCTCCTCTGTGTGTCACAGGGCACAGTCAGCTGCCTGGGCATCGTGTCAGAATCCAGCTGAAGCTGTTCCTGCTGACTGGACCTGGGAAAGTCACTCTGACTCTGGCTGGCTCCTCTAAACTGGTTTCAAGCTCATACATCCAGTGCCAGCCCATCCCTGATTCACAGGACTGGGAGCCTCTCTGTGCACCCCAGGCCCTCACCTGGCATAAACGGTGTGACAAAGGACTGTGTTTTGTGGCACTGCAGAGTGCTGTGCTCTGTTAGCAAAAAGTCCAGGAGAGGGATTGTTTCAATCTGCTCGGCAGCCTCAGGGCCTCAGCTGGGCTCCTGCATCCTCTGGGGCTCCCAGTATCACACTCATGGACAAACTGGAGCAGGTCCAGCAGGACAGTGAGGTTAGCCTGAGGCTGGGGCTGGAGCGTGAGAGATGAGGGCAGCTGAGAGCTGGGTCTGGTCAGCCTGGAGAGGAGGAAGGTTGAAGGGCATCAAGGGGTAGAACGGTGGCAACGTCCACAAGGCACAACCAGCAAAATCCCAGTGGAATGTGAGGGAAAGTTTCTGCCCCAAAGAGCAAGGCAGCTGGGGGCTGCTGCTCAGAGAGCCTGTGGGAGCCCCATCCATGGGGATCAGATTCGCTAGGTCTCATCTGGACATGGGCCTGAGCAAAATGATCTGATTTTGAAATTACTCTGCCAGCCCGTGGGACCAGAAACATCCAGAGGTCACTTCTGACCTAGGCCTTCCTGTGATTTCATTGCTGTGCACTGAATGTCTGTGATAAGAGCAGCAGTTACTGAGGACATGCAGTGGGGACGTTCCTGCTCTTCCAGAGCCACTCCCTTGCCCCAGGTACAGGAAAGGCGCTGAGGTTGCTGCAGTCATTGATCTCACCTGCCTCCTCCCACCATGCAGCACATTTGCCTCATTAAGCTCCTTAGATGAGCCCCACCTTGTCCATTTGGGTCTTCTTCAAACAAGAGCAGGTTCACCAGGTACCAGCAGCACATGAGTCACACGTCCTGCTGTACCTGTTGTCTTGTACATGTCCCTCAGGAGAGGCAGGAGATGCCTTGGAGAAGTCCTTTACTCCCTGGCTGGGGTGCAGTGCATGGAATTGGAAGAAGAACATCCCAGAGACCTCACTCCTACCAGGAGGAACCTGGAGCTGAGGAGTTTCTCCAGCTGGAAGGCCACTGAACCTGTGCCTGAGTCATGGGATGCTGCCACATCCCGGAGTTGTGGTGGAACAGCTCTGGCTGTACGTGGCCCCTGTCCTGGAAAAGCCCAGAGTGTAAATGTGGGATCAGTTCCCAGAGCAGGTGGCAGAGACACCATGGGCTGCGTGCTTCCCTCAGTCCAGTGCCAGCCCTGCCACAGGGCATCCGCAGCACAGTCACATCTTCCTTCTAAGCCTGGTCTCCAGAGACAGAGATGTTTGTCTTGAAAATTGCAGATGTCCTACCGAATCTGTTTCAACAAGGAAGCAGTGAGCTCCGGCAAGAGCTGACAGGCTCCAGAAACATTACCTGTGTTTTATCTTCACACCAGCGTGAGAAACTCTGCCCAGGAGATTGGAAAGATGTGGCCTGAAGGAGTGGGAGGAGGATGTCAGGGTGGGAGGGGAGCAGTGCCATGGAGGGAGGGGAGGGCTGAGGTGACACAGAGGGTTTCAGATTGTTGGGTAATGTGGCTTTGCTAAGCAGAAATGGATGGAAGGACTGGCCTCAGGATCTTTTGAAATCATGACATGGTTTGGGTTGGAAGTGCCTTTACAGATTATCTCGTCCCACCCCTGCCATGAGCAGGGACACCAGACCAGGTTGCTCCAAGCCCCATCCATCCTGGCCTGGGACACTTCAGGGATGAAAGGTCTCTGCTGTCCTTCTAGTTTTGTTCTCCTGGACAAAACTGGAGCTCAACCACACTGCTGAGGCTAATCCACATCCACACCTTCCTTCAGGAGTGGGGAATGCCAGGCAGGTGAAGGAAAATGGTGCAGCAGTGTGGTGGCAGGTCTTGTGTTACCCAAACCGAGCCCCTTGGCACCCAGACATTGAGCATCCTGGGAACTGCGATGCTCTGAGTCAGAAAAGCAGCAGTGAAGAGGTAGATGGTGGACCAGAAAAATGGCTTTTGTTGGTGTGTTGGAGAGGAGTTGCTCAGTGGTAATTTATTGTGATGTGCAGGAACATGCTGGGGCCATGCTTGTCCAAGCACCGCAGTCCTGCCACTGCAACTCCAGCTGGCACAGCTCCTGTCACTGCCCCTGATGCCAAGGGGAGCCAGCCTGGAGCTGGGTGAGAGGTGCCTTCCTCCGGGTGCTGCTCCTCCAGGCTGTTTCTCAGAGTTGCCAAATGAGTTGTTCTTTCATGAAATATTGTAAGGGTTGGACTTGGGAAAAGCCCATCTGAGTGCAAACCTCTCTGCATCCATTTGGCCTGGCATGTAAGTGATGGGGAAGCTTTCATGCTACCACTCTGCAGTCCTCTCCCACCCCTGAGGCTTCCCCTGTGCCCTGAAGCTGCTGCAGTGCTGACAGCTGTGCCAGGGCGAACGCTCACTGCAGCTCGAGCTCTCCAGGGCTGGGCTGGCACCAGGGGAGGTCTGGGGCAGCCCTGCACCGAGATGGATGTGCTGGCAGTGCCAGCAGCAGGCTGGGCACGGGCAGAGCTCGTCTCACCACTCTGGGATGCGGGGAGAGGAGGCAGTGCAGGCAGCCGTGGGTGTCAGCCCTGCAGGAGGGGTGGAGGTGTCAGCTGCTCTGCTGTCAGCACCTAGAATCAGAGAATATCCCTACTTGGAATGGACCCACAGGGATCATCGCATCCCACTCCTGGCCCTGCACAGACACCCCAACAATCCCTGGGAGCGGTATCCGAACGCTCCTGCAGCTCTGGCAGCATCGGGGTTAGGACCAATCCCTGGGGGAGTGCCCCAGCACCCTCTGGGGGAAGAACCATTCCCTGATATCCAGCCTAAGCCCCCTGACAGAGCTCCAGCCGTTCCGTGGGTGCTGTCGCTGCTCACAGAGCAGAGATGGGAGCTCCCCTCAGGAGAAGCTGCGGGCTCCGATGCGTTCCCTGACGCGCAGGACTGGGAGCGGCCCGGGCTCTTGGCTCACCTGCCCCGCTCCCCAGCACGCCGGGCCAGAGCCGGTCAGGGTTGCCGGGGAGGCGGCAGCTCCAGCTCTGGTCCCTGCCCCGTGGGCTTGTCAGCACAGCTCCCTGGGCGGCTTTCCCGGGGCGCGGCCCGGCCGGGCCCGCGCGGTGCCCGCCTGCCCGAGGGTCCGGCCGTGCCCGTGCCCGTGGCTCTGGCTCTGGCTGTGACCGTGGCTGTGGCTCTGACCGTGGCCGTGGCTGTGGCCGTGGCTGAAGCCGTGGCCGTGGCCGTGGCCCGGCTCTCTGCGGGCCGGCGGGGCCCTCTGTGCTCGCCGGGAGGAGCGGGGCCCGGCGCGGGCGGCTCTCCATTGTCAGCGTGTCAGGTCAGCTTTGTGTTGCTTGCTCAGGCTGCTGGATGCGCCTCCCGTGATTGGCATGTGCAGCTTGCAGCCCCAGCCTGCCTGAGCCTTGGGAAGCTGCTCTATGCAAATGGAAAAGTAAAAACCACCCATTTCCCCATGGCGGGCAGGGCTGAATGCATGGTATGGGGCTTTTTGCGGTGCCACAGTGCTGTGCCTGCTCCAACCGTGGGCTCCTTTTGCCAGTTTCCTGCTTGAGGCACTGTCCTACATGTTTTCTAACTATCAGTTCAGCAGAACCATTTTTATTCTCCCCTCACTGCTCTATACAAACAGCAAAAATCAGGATCTCCTGACCTCTGCACAGCTCTCCCAATGCAGGAAGTGAATTCCAAAGCTCCAAACAGCAATAACCCTCCTGCCCACCGTCTGCTAGGGTGAGGGTCCTGCCTGTGCAGGTGATGACTGTCTGTGTCCCCCTCTCTCTCTTCCAGCCCCTTCTGCCGTGTCCATCATGCACCAGGTGAGCCGCACCGTGGACAGCATCACCCTCTCCTGGTCCCAGCCCGACCAGCCCAATGGAGTCATCCTGGACTATGAGCTGCAGTACTACGAGAAGGTACTGAGGGACCTTCACGGGGGTCACCCACAGCTTTTGGGGAGAGGAGGGGTGCAGAGCTTCACTTAAGGGCATACAGTGGTTCAGTAGGAGACTTCTCTTGCTGCATTTGGTCACATGGATGACAGTGGCCATCAATCCTTGGGGTCCAGTGATGGTTCCAGTGGCCTAAGTGTAGAAAATCCACTGGTCATTCAGGAGCTTCTCCTGTCACCTCCACAGAACTGGTGGCAAGTCGACCCATTGCAGGGAGAGCAGGGTAGCTAAGGTCCAGGGCCTGTTTTTCCTTTTGGTGTACTGTGGCATCAGCAGGAAATGGGAATGACAGGGAACATCCAGTCCCAGGCTGGAGCACACTTAGTGCATGTACAGTCCTGGAGATTTTCTGGAGTGCTGCCCATGGGTACATCTACACCAAAGGTGAGTTTGGCATCTCTTCAGCATCCCATCCAACGCTCAGATGTTGTACAGGGAGGTGTCTCATGCTCCCATGGAGGGTCCATGCTGCACTATGGAGTCAGCATGAAGGAGTCCTGCAGCTCTGGCTCTTTCACCCCTGAGGAACCTGCTCCTTCCATAACCTCCCTGTCCAGGCAGACAGAGGGATTTCTTCTGGACTGTGCCAGGGTGTCCATCCCACCAGTGGCTGCTCAGAGAGCTGAGGACCACGTGGTGGTTGGTCCCAGGACCTGCCAGGCTGAACTTCATCTGTGCAGCCCAGGGGAGATGGGGAGCAGGAGACTTCTTCCAGGAATCTGCTCCCTTGCACAAGAGCTTATAAACTATACATTATAAATTGCAAACTAACTAATTAAAAAGCTTTATGATTAAATGGAACTGAAAATATTTTTCCCAGCAGTTGCCGGAAGAAATGATTAATCCCCCCCACTGCCTGCCTGTGACCTATTTTCTCATCACCAAGAGCCAGAGGGAGAATGGGGAGGAGGGGGGGCTCCTTTGTGAGCTGTTAAATAGGTCCTGACCTATATTGCATAAATCACAGCCATTTATTTTGACCCTTGGAAATTATCCCAGAATGGATGGCAAGATGGCTGAGTAGATAACAAGACAGATCTGGGAAGCAAGAGGGGTCCTTTCCCTGGGGACCCTCAATGCAGAGGCAGAAGATCTCAGGGAGTACATTCTACTCCTCTTACTTTATCTTAGTGTCTCGCCCTCGTTCTTTCTTCCCTCTCCTCTGTTTTCTGAGGGAGGCTGTAAATAAAGGGATTTTTTGTCTAAAAAATGGTCCAGTCTGCTGCTACCAGTCTTCGCAGGCAGCCACATCTGCCTGTCCCACTGTCTGAGTGAGGGCACAGCATGTCCCTGATGATGGGGACAAGTGGCCCCACTCTGAGGCAGTGCTGTTCATGGGGCACTAAGCCTGGCACAGAGGGCAGAGCTGGGCTGAGATTCTCCCTGTCCTGGTATTTCAGAGAACCATGGAGGCATCCCAGAATGGTTTGGATTGGAAGGGACGTTAAAGATCATCCAGTGCCACCCCCTGCCATGGGCAGGGACACCTTCCACTAGTCCAGGTTGATAAAAGACCCATCCAGCCTGGCCTTGGGCACTTCCAGTGATCCAGGGGCAGCCACAGCTGCTCTGGGCAACCTGTGCCATGGCTTTGGCTCTGACATGCTCTTCCCCTGCTTCCCATCAATCCAGCAGTTGGACATGGTGTGTGACACATCCCAGGTGTGTTCTCACTCCACTGCCAGTCTGTGCAGAGGTGATTTCCTTCCAAATATTTCATTACAAACTCTCCCATGTGCTTCTGAATGCTCAGCAAAGATCTCTGGATTTGGTCACGTGATTAAGTTTTTTCTGATGGAATTTTTTTCCCCCAGTAGAAAATTATATTTTATTTTCATGAAAACAGCTCAAATGAAGAATAGCACCATACACATTATATATAAAAAGCACCTTGACTCTTCATTTTTAATAGATTCTCTTCTATATACAGACATTACATAAAAAATAGAAGAATTTACTTTAGTGTTGACAGAAAAGCACTGTTCACAATACCTGAAACAAAGGTGTATTTTTGTTTCCCTTTCACAGATTATTTATAACACTGCTATTCTTAGATGCCATTAAAAATGCCTGTACAAAGGCAACATTATGAGTTTCTTTCACGTGGAGTTGGAGCAAATCCACACAGATTGTTGCACAATCACTGCCTGATGCGGCTGCTCTCTGTAGCCCTCGCCTAAATGTGTTTTCTTCTTTTCCACTTCCAAGAGGTACCTGCCAGTGTTTGTCTTATTAAAAAAGTCTGTGTTGTCTTAATTTAGAAAGGGCGTAGCAGTTTTTATCTAAAGTTGCCAAACTCATCCTGGAGTGTGGGAACTGGAGATCCAATGCAGTGTCAGACACAGCAGAGTAATTAGCCCTCCTCATTATGCAAAATGATTGGGTCTGATGATGCTCAAAGTCACCCATTTTGTAATTGTTTGAAGACATTCCGCCCAGTTTGGTTACCAGTGCAAGATTTTAGGAGGCCAAAGAGCCCTTTGATGTCTCCAGCCATTGCTGGAGGAGGGACATGGGTTGGCTGGGGGATGAAGGCTCAGGGAGAGGACCTGTGAAGGTGGATATGGAAGTGGAGGTAGGAGAGCTCTCCTGGTGCCCAGGAGCTTCTGGCCAGAGCCCAGGGCTTGGACCAAGGACACTGGAGGTGCTGCTCCCAGGCTGGTTCAGGGGACATCCCTGCCCATGTCAGGGGGTTGGAAAGAGATGGTCTTTAAGGTCTCTCCAACCCATACCATCGTGGGGTTCCATGATTCTCTGACTTTTTGGAGTCTGTCCTGCAGTGTCCTCAGAATCCCTGAGCCTGGAGCCAAAGCTGCTGCCTGGTGTTTCTCATCTGTCGTGAGGTGGGGCTGCCCCTTCACCCAGTGCTGCCCAAATCCTTGGAGGGGTCTCTGTCCCAAGAAAGCTGGGAGTTCAAGGACATGGAGAGGAAACCCTGCCAGGGAGCCCTGGGATAGCCTACCTGCAGTCTCGGTCCCTGCCCAGGGCCACACTGGGACTGGGCACTGTCCAGGACTCAGTGGATTTGAGAGAGGCATTCAAACACTCAGAGAATGATTAAAGTTGGAGAAGTCCTCCAAGATCAGTCATTCCACCCTTCACCCAATGCCCACCAAGCCACATTGCTGAGTGTAGCATCTCATTTCTTGGGCACTTCCAGGCATGGGGACTCTACCCTGCCCTGAGCAGCCTGTGACAATGCCTGAAAACCCTTTTCATGAAGAAATGTTTCCTTATATCTAACTCGCACTTCTCTTGGCACAATTTGAAGCCATTTCTCCTTGTCCCACCTGATGGGATACCTGGCTGAGGGCACAAATCTTCTTGGGCTGTCCCCAGAAGTGGTGGATCCTTATGAGAGTCCAGGTGCTGTGGGTGCCACAGATGCAGCCCCAGTGTGGCTGGCTGCACCCTGCTCCCACACGTGGGCATCCCGAAATGCAGCTGTGTGATGGTTTGGCACCCGGCCCTGGCGTGGCTGTGTCCTGCTGTGTTTGCCCCCGGGGCCATGGCAGATGTCACTGTGCAGGCTCATAGGAACTCTGCCAAATGCAGTCGCTTGACATTTTTTTCTTGGATTTTTCACTTTCAATTTTCTTTTTTTTTGAATACGACTTTTTAGAAGTAATTTTTATAAATTCTTTGGGTGTCTCGCAGCCCACCCATGTTTCAAGAGACTCTTTCTTTGTTGATCAGACTTTGGTTTCAGCTTCAGTTTGACTCGTGGGAGGGGGAACCAGACAAGGACTCAAAATCTAACCAGTGTGTTATTTTGAATTAGGATTTCCAGACTCAAAAGAAAATCATCAGGGGAAAAAAAAAAACAAAACAAAACAACCCAAATACCACAAATCTCTGCTTGGACTTAACTCAAAAGAAAATCATCAGGGGGAAAAGAAAAAAAAAAAAAAAAAAACAAAAAAAAACAACCCAAATACCACAAATCTCTGCTTGGACTTGGGCTTTAAACCACCTGGGATGCACTTGGCCTGCTGGAGGAGCCCAGAGGTGAAAGGGGAGAAGTGTTTGAGGTGAACGTGCAGGTTCTGGAGAGGTGATGCCAAGGAGAAGGAATAGGTTTGATAAGGGAGGGTGGAGAGGTGTAAATGGTTTTTCCTTGTGGTTTGGGTTTAGAGAAGAGCACATCACAAGCACACCTTCCTCCTGTCAGCCAGGCAAACATCAATTTCCCAGGCTATCAACCACCTTGCAGGCTTGGCCATTACATTCCATTTAAAATCCTCCAGGAGCAGGGTTGAGGTTCTCCAAAAGAGTTGGACAAATTATTTTAAGACAACTGTGTTGTTAGTACCCTCCAAGGGCCTGGGAGGATTCATCCAAGCCCTTAAGCTCTAAAACTGTAAACATTTCCTGACCTATTTCTCTCCTTGCCTGCCTGGGAAAGGTCCAAGGGAGTGCTGAGGCCTGATCAGACAAATGAGGCCGTGAGTTTTCTGTGTGCTCATCTTTCCTTGCTGTGTGTGTATCTGTACTTGAGCTTTTCACTGCCATCAGTCTAATTACCAGGGACCCCAGTGACAATCAGGAACCTTCAGCACCAAGTCCAGATGCATAAAACAGATATTGTAGTTTTTAGAAGGGAAAAGTGTTCCTGAACAGTGTTAATAGTGGAGGTCTCCCAGGTGTTCCACAGAATCATAGGATGGTTTGGGTTGGTAGTGACCTTAAAGCCCATCCCATTGCGTCCCCTGCCTTGGGCAGGGACATCTTCCATAGCTTGCTCACAGCTGGGCTTTCCTAAGAGCTCTTTGTTTTCCAGAAGCATTGTGCTGTTGGCATTGCTATTTTACTCTGACTTTTGGGACTTCATGGCAGCCATGCTCCCAGCCACCTTTCACTGGCGACATTCAGGACCTTCTGTCATTGTCCTCTGTTGACTCCATGTCCCTGGGAGACAGGGACTACCTGTTCTCTTGTATATGGAAATCCTGCCCATCCACCAGTGCTTCTGGATGAAGGGCACAATTCCTAAGGGCATAGATGGAACCATCACCTACACAAATGCAAAGCTTCCTGCACCACTGTGTGACTGATCCAGTCCTCAGCTACAAAACTGCAGACAAGGGGCAAAACAAAAGTTTAGAAATAGTCTCACTGTCACTTTGAAATATGGTCTTGGGGTCCCCAGCCTCAGAAACTTGGCCTTGGCCCCTGGAGAAGCAGGCTCTGGGCAGTGGGGTGGAAGCAGAACTTCTCTTGAGGTCCAAAACCCACTGTTCAGGTGGGCTTTACCTCCTGGCAAAGGGAGATGGGAGTTGGGGAAGAGCAAATGGACTGTGCTGAGGCTGGCTAAGGCACAGCAGGAGGGGATGGGGAAGGAGGAAAGTGCTAAGAAAAAGGCGCAAAAGAGGGAAGAAGTTCCCATCTCCATTGACCTCAAGGCTTAGAGAAGCAACATGAGTTTTGTAGCTACTGCCCTCTTTAGAGCCTTTCTTGGGACGTGGTGAATAGCCTAGGGATATCCACACTCACATCCCTGAGTCTGTGTCTCCCTGCCAGGAGGAGACTTTGTTCAGACTCTTTGTTCAGACCTTGGTGGTATGTCCACCCTGGTCTCCTGCCCTTCCTCCTCCCAGAAGTACAATGCCTGATTCTGGACTGTTTTTGCTGATGACAGATTTGTTTTTTCGTGGTAGGATCTGAGCGAGTTGAACTCGACCACAGTGAAGAGCCCCACCAACACTGTGGCAGTGCAGAACCTCAAGGCTGGCACCATCTATGTGTTCCAGGTGCGGGCGCGCACCGTGGCCGGCTACGGCCGCTACAGTGGGAAGATGTATTTCCAGACCATGACTGAAGGTGAGTCTGCAGCTGCTCTGTAAAGGTGACTCAGGGTCTCGAGAGATGTGGAGATAGACAAGCAGCTTGTCCCCTTGCTATCAGTCCCAAGGGTGTGTTGAGAAATCACATTCAAGACCTGGAGAGAGGCCTGGGTGCTTGTTCCATGCAGGGAAGACCCCAGTTTCTGCCCAGCTTTTCTGTTGTTGGTATGTGTCTGCTCAGCTGGATGTAGAAGAAACAAAATTTATGTTTTCTACCTGCACAGTTGCTGATGACAAACACAGAGCCATGTCTTTCTTTTCTAAATTTGTGCCGCTAAATAAAACAGACCAAGCCAGTTTTCTGGCCCTGTGGCCAAGGACAAGGCACAGCATGCACCCACAAAACTAAACCTTCCTCCCAAAAGGAATAGCTCTATCCAACCTTCCTTCTGGGACACATCCCCCAGCCAGAGGGAAGTCCTGACTGCCCAGGACCAAAGCCATGCCAGGGATCAAACGTGGCCCATGCTCAGGGCTGTCCTCTGACTTCAATGACCTCATGAGGGATGGTGCAGCCCGTGCCACAGTAACCTGTTCCCTTCTCCCCGTGTGCCAGCCGAGTACCAGACCAGCGTGCAGGAGAAGCTGCCGCTCATCATCGGCTCCTCAGCGGCAGGGCTGGTGTTCCTCATCGCCGTGGTGGTCATCGGCATCGTGTGCAACAGGTAGGGCAGGCTGAGACAGCCCAGGGCCGGGCAGGGCGCGGGCGCTGGGGACAGGGGATGGCACCGGGGGGACAGAGGTGCCCCCACAGTGCAGCCCCGGCCCCGAGGGGCCCATGCTGTGCTCAGGTCTCCCTTCCCTTCCAGAAGACGGGGCTTCGAGCGGGCTGACTCGGAGTACACGGACAAGCTGCAGCACTACACCAGTGGCCACAGTACGTACCGGGGGCCCCCCCCAGCCCTGGGGGGCCGCTCGCTGCTCGGTTCGTGCTCCTGTTCACTCGGGGCTTGCAGGGAGGGCTCTGGGCAGGGTGTGCATGTGTGTGTGGGCAGGGCAGCCCCAGATCCCCCCTGCCCCTGATCCTGCCCTGCTCTCAGCCCTGCACGCTCTCAGGTTCCTGAGCGTGTCCTCCAGACCTCTGTGACAACCAACACCCCCTGAAGCATCACCATCTTCTGTGCTGCAGCATCTGCCAGCACACCATGTCTTGCTCCTCCAGCTCCTGAGCTTTGCCCATCTCCTGGGCAGCAGTGAGACCCCTTCCCTGACCTGTCCTTGTCCTGCAGAGTTCTGTCCCCTGTAGGCACCCACAGACCTTTGCCAGAGCCCATCCCAGTGCTCCCAGATTCCCAGCAGATATGAGATATATCTATATATATAGGTATATAATACAATACCTAATATGCCCTCTCTTATAGCCTCCCTCCTCCAACATCCCTGTGCAAGGCACTCCCTCACATCCAGTATTCCTGCTCAGCCTCACTGCACACCCTGCCTCACCCCAGTGCATCCTTCTTCCCCCATCCCTGGAAATGTCCAGGGCCAGGTTGCACAGAGTTTGGAGCAACCTGGGATAGTGGCAGGTGTCCCTGACCATGGCAGGGGGTGGAATGAGATGAGGTCATTTAAGATTCTTTTCAACCCAGATCATTCCATGATTCTATCATTAACCCCTGCTTTCATGTCCCTCAAATTCCTTTCTCTCCTCTCACTAGAGACCTGTTGCTCTAATCTTGCTTTATTCCAATCTCAGTTGTGATTTTCCTCATGTTCTACTTGCAGCTTCAGGATTTCTGCCCTTTTAATACCTTATTTCCATGCTATGCTCAGAGCATGGAAAACACCAGTAGTGTTTCCACTCAGGACTCACTGTTGCTGCTGCTTTTACCTGGGAAACATGTCCCAAAAGGCAGATCTGCAGCCCTGTGCCCCAGCAGCCTGTGCTGGCTGCCTCGCTATCACTTACCAGGAAAAATGACACTTTTCAGGAGACATTATGTAAATGCAGCTCTCAGTTGTTTGTCAGTCTGGGCTGCAAACACACATTCACACGTTCTCCCGGGGCCTGGTGTGGGATGTGACAGCTCCAGGCTGGGATGGGTTTAATCACTGTGCCTGCACCACTTGGAGCAGGCTGGTGCCACAGGATGCAGCAGAGCTGATGCTGCCTGGGTGCCTTTTAGCCCCTTCCTCACCCAACACACCTGGCCAGGCTCAGTCCCTGCTCAGTCCCCAGCAGTGGTTGCTGGGCAGACACTGCAGCAAATTGCCATGGCCCAGGGAGCCTGTGAGCCCTGCAGAACCCCCTGAATACAGCCAGCATCCTGGAGCTGGGAGTCAGTCTGGTGCTGTGTGGGGCTCCTTGTGCAGGGAGCTGTGAGCTCTGCTCTCCAAACAGCCCATTTTGGAGTGAGCCAGGGGCCAGAAAAGTACAGAAGGGAGAGAAGCACAGGTGAGGGTTGTCCCACAGTGCAGGTCGCTGGGATGTGGCATCAGCAGTCCAGCCTCACCAGGTCCCTTGGCCACTGCCTTTCCCATGACATGTCACTGTGTCCCCTGCTCAGCCTAGCAAGAGGAACCTGTCTTTTGTGATTTTCCTAGTGTGTCCCACTACTTCTCTTGGGGCTCCCAAGAGGGAACCCAGCCTTGGGTAGGAGTGCCAGTCAGGAGAAGAGGGCAGACAGGACTGTGCCTCCTGCTTGCACAGCTCCTGGAAGGGTGACAGATCCCCCATGGAGGAGTCTGCAGTTTCTAGTCCAGGCTCACGATGTAGCTCCCTACTGCCCCAACAATGACCTGTGGGCCAGTGTTCATTAAAAACAGTTTTAACAGTCTTGTGGAACATGGCTCTGCATGTTCTTTCTCAAACTGTTTCTCTCTGTCTGCTTTGAGCCTTGATTATGCAACTTGCTGAGATAAAAAGACCGTCACTCAAAACGTTTTCTCTTTTCCTTGATGCCAATCATTCCAGTTGCATCCATTTGTCTGACTCTCTCCCTCACCTTTGCACAGTGACTCCAGGGATGAAGATTTATATCGATCCTTTCACCTATGAAGATCCCAATGAGGCTGTCAGGGAATTTGCAAAAGAAATCGATATCTCTTGTGTCAAAATCGAGCAGGTGATTGGGGCAGGTAGGTGACCTGGGAATGGCTGGCTGGCCCTCAGCAGCACAGGCTCCTTCACGGTGCCAGGATTTGGGAGGATTTAGCCTGATGCCACTAGGACTGATGCCTCTTAAGATCTTAATTAGCCCCAGGCTGGACTAGAAGGAGCAGGGGAGTCCAATGCAGGAGAAGCAAGACCATCAGTTCCTATGTGCATATAATCCCACATGCAGTGTTCCTCAGCTGGGGGGTTGGAGAGGGAGGGCACACGGGTCAGGGGGTGGGTGCTCAGCTCAGGGACAGGCAGGGAGGGCGCAGCTGGGGCCAGGGGTCCCCTGGAGGGCACAGCAGAGGTAGAGAAGGCTCATAGGCCCTACCTTGTGTTCACAGGGGAGTTTGGTGAGGTGTGCAGTGGGCATCTCAAGCTTCCAGGCAAAAGAGAGATCTTTGTGGCCATCAAGACCCTCAAGTCTGGCTACACGGAGAAGCAGAGGCGGGACTTCCTGAGTGAGGCCAGCATCATGGGGCAGTTCGACCACCCCAACGTCATCCACCTGGAGGGGGTGGTCACCAAGAGCTCTCCAGTCATGATCATCACTGAGTTCATGGAGAATGGCTCACTGGACTCCTTCCTGCGGGTAAGAGATCTGGGAGTGCACAGCTTTAGAGGCTGTGCTAGCACAGAGGGGATTTGGGGGGAAAGTTGCCTTTCCAGTGGCCTTCCCTGCCAGCCATTCCCTGTCACTGGGGCAGCTGCTGCATAGCCAGAGCTCTGTGTTTTGGGAACAGTGTTGGAGGTGGCAGCACCAGGGCTGTCATTTCTATTGTGTCTGTCCACTCATCCCAGCAAGAGGCTGTGTTTGCCTGCCCACAGGTACACATCCAGACTGACCCATGGACACCCATGGAGGGACAGTCTGACACAGCTTTAACCCAGCAGGACCCCACCTCCAGCTGCTCTTCTAAATATTTCTAGTTCTGGGTTTGAAGTGGATAATTGATTCTGTCGAAAGAAAGTAATCTGGTCAATGGGAATAAATTGTCCCTTCTGAGCTCTCCTGTGCAGGGTGGGTGCATTCTGGGGTGACAGCAGCTGCCGTAGTGGTGCCCTTGGGATGTGTGAGGTGACTCCCAACCCCTGTGAGCTGTGCACTCCCCACCCTCCCTGGGAGGGAATATCCTGCCGGGGGTGTGGAAAGAAGCTCCTGGCTTTTGCCTGGACTGTGAATGTGCTCCTGTCACCTGTGTCCGTGTGTCCCTCAGCAAAACGACGGGCAGTTCACGGTGATCCAGCTGGTGGGGATGCTGCGGGGCATTGCCGCGGGCATGAAGTACCTGGCAGACATGAACTACGTGCACCGGGACCTGGCCGCCCGCAACATCCTGGTCAACAGCAACCTGGTGTGCAAGGTGTCCGACTTCGGCCTGTCCCGCTTCCTGGAGGACGACACCTCCGACCCCACCTACACCAGTGCTCTGGTAATGCTGCTCTTCGGCCAGGGAGGGGCAGGGGTGAAGGAAGGAGGGACCTCCCCCTTGACAGCAGGGAGCACTGTTTCAGGGTGTCAGCGGTGGAGAGGTCCCAGACGAGAAAGAGCGATGAAATAAACTGAAGAAGATTTTCCCTTGCAAGGTCCTGTCATTCTTGTGGATAGTTGAGCCTTCCTCCAGATGTGCCTGCAAACACACACATGTCCCTGAAAAGCCCTTGGTTGGGATCATGTGCTGCGCCCTCCCCGTATGATTCACCTGGGATCCTTTGAGAAGTGACACTACCCTGACAGATTTGTTCCCAGGGCAGCAAGTCTGGGTTTCTTACCATCACTGTCCAGTCATGCTGCCCTGCTGTCCTTCCTCATGTCATCTCACTGGCTCAGCCCCAAGAAGGACAGACTGAAAGTGTAGGAAGTGTGGGTGGGTGCCAGATACTGATCTTCCAGCGAGTATCCAATTTAAACAGAAAAACACTCCTAAAAATGACTTCATGTAACAACTTCCCAGGAAAACCTTGGTGCCATAGATGCAAGTGCCACCAAGAACTTGTGGCTCATGTCAGGCTTCAGGAGGTGCCCCAGGACCAGAGGATTATTTGGTTTTGCTCAATGAGAGCTCAGCCAGGAGTTCTCATTAATACCACACAGAAATGCTCTGCACAGTGCATGAGGATCAATGCCCACATCAGGAATCCTTGGAAATCAGTGTTGATAGAGCTGGGCCATGACCTGTAGGAAATCACCTCTCCTGGTCTTTTGGAGCTGGCAATGATGAGTTGCCTGGCACAGCTCTTAGTAAATTTTATCGGTAGCTAAATACCTAACAAACACCTAAAAATGTGTGGGTTTATTCTCATCTGTGTAGCTTCAGACATCAGCTGATCCATCTCACACAGCCATCAATGGTTTTACAAACACTAATAACATTTATTTTTCATATATCCCTTACAGCCAATTAAATTTCCCTTTGTTAACTAAATACATGGTGTTTACTGCTGTTCTCTATCCCTGGTTTTATGCCTGTAGCTTTTCTCTCTAGTAATAAATTCATCATTGCTAATTTATTCTCCTTGAACTGTGGGCACTGTAGCAGGATATTTATTATCCATAATGACAGACTATATGCACCTACTGTATAATAAGTATTTTCCTCTGCAAAATGGTTTTTATCATCATTCTCCCAATGACCTTGTGTCCATGGGTGAGCAAAAGCCACAAGTTCTGGCCTGGGAGGTTCATGCTGGACCTTTGGAAAGTCTTTGGAGTGGTGAAGCTCCAGGTCAGACCCCCACAGAGATAGGCAGTGTCACTGAACTGAGTTCCCACTCAGAACCCTCCAAAGTCTAAATTCTTCTTTAGGACTTCTTTTTAGCCATTTTTAAAATCCACTGCTTGCCAGGAGTTCTGTCAGGAGTCTGCCTGATGGAGAGGACATCCTGTTTGGTATGGATTGCTTCGTCTTCCCCTTTTGTAGAAAACAATGTTTTGTCTGAGGTTTGTGGCTGCGAAAAGATTAAGAAACATTATCTTTTTTCATTATTCTGGCATGTACTGGGGCTGAGTACTATGGAGTCCTGGGAGACCCTTAATAAGACGTGGCAGTTGTTCATTGACAAAATATAATGTTTTTTAATCTTCTCACAGCCACAAAACACAGACACTTCTGTTTATTTTTTCAGCACAGAGGAAGATTTTCCCTTCAGAAGATCCCTTGAGTGAATGGCTCAAGTCCAAAGCCCCTGGTAGAAAATCAGGAGGCAGGAAGGGCTTAAGCAGAGCCTTCAATCCCTGTGTCCCCATTTGTGTGTGCCACTTCTGTGCTTAACTCGTCAGAGGGAGTGGAGAACCCTGATTGCTCCAGAGCTGGATGACAGAGACCCCAGTGCCCACCCAGTCTTATCCCATTTCCCACCAGTGACCCCCCCATCCCATACTGAAGGATCAGAACATGGTGGATCAGCTGTAGATCCACAGACAGACTGGGGCACCAGGACTCAGGCCAGAAATGGTCTACTGCTGACTTCAAAGAGTGGAAGCTGTAGGAGGCTGAAGAGGAAGGTGATCTAATTCCCTTTATTCTGCTCTGCAGGTAGCCAGGTGACAGTGAAAGGATAGAGGCAGATCAGTTTGGGTTTTTTACATTCCTGGGCATTCACTTTCTACCAAAGACCCTGTTAGCACCATGGGCATTTTGCCATGCCAGGAGCAGGGGGCAGGGGGAAGGAGCTGGCCTTGGTTAAGATGGTGACAAGGAGACTGAGGGGACACTTCTCAGTGACCTTCAGGGCAGTAACGAAGAGACAGAGTCAAACTCTTTGCAGTGGCACCAGCTGATAAAATAAAGGGGTCATAGACAAAAATGTGGCTGGGGAGTTCAAGGTGAGCAACAGGAAAAGCTCTTTCCTCAGGAGGGTGTTGGGACAGGTCACCAAATGAGAAGAATCACCATCGTCAATGAAGGCTTCCAGGATGACTGGACAATTCACATCCACCCTGAGGGACAGACAGTCCTGTGCTTCCTTCCTTCTGGGATTTTACTAGAACATCACAGAGGTGTGGACATGCTATTTTTCAGTTGCTCCTGCTCTCTCTGTTACCATCCCGCTTTTGTCCTGCAGGGTGGGAAGATCCCGATCCGCTGGACGGCACCTGAGGCCATTCAGTACAGAAAGTTCACCTCAGCCAGCGACGTGTGGAGCTATGGAATCGTCATGTGGGAGGTGATGTCCTACGGAGAGCGGCCCTACTGGGACATGACCAACCAGGATGTGAGTTCTGGGAAAGCAGGGGCAGAAACACTGCAATGGGGAGCATGGCAAGGACAAAGCATGTCCACAGCCTGTCCCAGCCTCTGGCAGGTCCAGAGCCTTCTCTGTTATGGCAGATGTGTCCAAGGTCAACACCTTTGGAAGCAGTAATGGGAATGATCTGGGGTTTATTGTGGCCCCATGGTGCTGCTGTGGCACAGATTGGGGATGGCACAGCACCCACTGCACAGGGCTAACGGGAGCACCCCAGGGGTGTTGGCAGGTGCCGAGAAAGGGAAGGAGCAGGTGAGTGGAAAAGGAGATGTCACTGAGCTGAGAGCCTCTGGAGCAGAGCTTCATCTGCTGGGATCACAGACACTCCAGGAAGGTCTGTTACAAAGCCACACGATGGCTTGTGTCCGAAGAGACCTTTAAAGATCATCTCCTTCCAACCCCCTGCCATGGTCAAGGACATCTGCTAGATGGTCATGAAATCTCCTGTGGGAAGCTTGGACTGTGGTCTGTAAGAAGCCAAGTAATTTAGGCACAGCTAGAAACCAAAACCACGAGGTACTTCATAACATGCTCAATTTTAAATATTTCATTCCTCTGCTCTAATTCATGTCAAACAGTTACATGCACTCCTTGCTCCGGGTGTGTTTCCTGCAAGGGTGGCCCCTGGCTGCACTCCCTGCCCTCAGCACAGCAATGCCATTTCCATTCTCCCTGGTCCTCTTGCTGTGGTACCTGGGGTCAAAGCCCATCTGGCCAGTGGCAGTGAGTGCTGTGAGGATGCTTCATCTACATGTGTGCGTCAGAAGGCTTCTTTTAACTCTGTCTCTCAGAACAGCTGCCCTCACATAAAGAATACTCAGAATGTAACACCAAGGTCCTGGGTGGACCTAGGGGATGTAGAAAGCTTGTCCTGGCTCTTGCAGCTCTGCTGGCTTCCCCAGTGCTGGCTTCTCAGAGCAGCCTCTGGGTAGTCCCTTGGAAGCCTGCAGACATGCACTTTGTCTCCACCATCCTGTGGGCTCCAAAGGCCTTGCCTTACAGGGAGAGAGTGAGGGCCAAGCTCCCTGTCCCTCCTGTCCCTCCTCCTGTCCCTATGGCAGATCAGACCTTTTCTATTTCAATAGATCTCCATCTGTGCCACATCAGGTTTCTCTAGAGTGGGACTGTTTCCTCCCTACTGCCTGGTGGGAAATTTATTAATATGAATTCTTAAGCCTGGAGCAGGGGGATGATGCCTTAGAACCTTTGGCTGTTCACAGCCTCTGCTACACCAGGAAAATGTTTCCATCAGATCTTGGAAGCCGAGGGATGGGACTTTGGGGTCTGCATTTCTCAGCAAGGACAATTCCCTTCCTGCTAAGCCATTGTTGTCACCTCAGTTTCAAGCGTGTCCTGCACCAGATATTCCTGTACCTTCCCTGTGCCTTGTCCTTCTCCTGGAGCTCTTCCCTAGCTGGTTTCTCCTGCCGCGGCTGCGGCAGCACCGATCGCTGTGCCGGGGATGGCAGAGCTGTGCCTGTCCCTGGCACCTCCCGCTGCGCGTCGCTGTCCCCAGCCCCTGCTCCCTTTCCATGCTGCAGGACACGGTTCCCCAGAAGCTGTCACCACTTAAGCACAGCTGGTCCTGCTGTGGAGGAACGTGGCGGATATTGAGGGCAGATTACCCTCCTGACCCTGGGGTGTGAGCGCCTGGGGCGGTGGCTGGGAGAGGACATGGAGAGAGCTGGGGCTGCCTCTGGGATGTGGCTGATGGCAGCGGGACTCGCTGGGAACAGAGAGGAGTGCTTGCTGCTTGCGTGGAGCTGCTGCCACCCTGCGCCTCCCCTGGCACTGGCCCTGAACCCAGGGAGCTGGGCTGGGGCTTAGCACCACTTGGGAGGTTCCCTGAGCTGCACAAAGTGCATCAGTAGCCATGGAATCCTTGAGGCTGGAAAAGGCTCTGAGATCGGTGAGTCCAACCATCAACGTAGCACTGCTGTGTTCACCCTAAACATGTCCCCAAGTGCCACATCCACTCACCTTTTGAAGCCTTAAAGGATGGTGACTCCACCTCTTCCCTGCACAGCCTGTTGCAATGCTTGACAGTCCCTTCCCTACTGTCCAATCCAAACGTTCCCTGGTACAACTTGAGGCCATTTACTCTAGTCCTGCCACTTGTTACCTGGGAGAAGAGACCATCACTCCCCGGTTCCACCCTCCTGTCAGTGATTTGTAGAGGACTTACCTCTGGTCAGACCTTCACAGGCCCCGTGGGGCCACCACCATGTCCAACCAGGGCAGCAGAACTGGGTTCTTCCATCTGGCAAATTCTGGCAGCAGCAGTGCCAGCCCCATGTCTCAGGTCAGCCTGCCCAGCAGCTTGGCCACACACAACAGTGCCTCCAGCACTCCCAATCCATTCTCTGCCTAGAGCCACAGGCCATCTCAAACCTGCCAGATGCCCCATCTCACACTCTGGATTGTTTGGCATGGATCAGCCACCAGCTCTTCCTTGCTTCTCTCCCATTCCCATACCCATTCCCAATCCCAGTATCCTTAATTTTCTCTGTGTAGTCTCCCTACTCAACAATATGTCCACCATCACGAGTATGTCTAGACTTCCCCAGGATGGGGGCACAGCCATAGGGAATCCCACCAGAAAGATCTTCAGAAGTGTGCAAGACATGGCTGGACAAAGCCATGGCAGCCTTGATCCCATGGTGAGAATAGCCAGAGACATGGAGGTTCTTCCTCAGGATCCCTGAGGGAGGTTCTGGCACTCTTCCTTCCCTTGACCATCATTCCCATGGAGACTTCAACATTTCAAGATCTGCTCCTGATTTCTGCAGTATCCTCAGTTCTGGTTTTTGTCCTTACTTCTGGGTTTTGTTGCCATGCACAAGCCCATCTCTGGTGTTCAAGACTCCTTCTGCTCATCCTTCAGTGCCTTTGCTGTGCGTGGCCAAGGAGGCAGGAGAATCCTGCCTGTACAGATGTTCCTGGAAGAAGTGGAGCAGCTCCATCCTCATTTGTCACCCAGGAGAGGATTGAGGGCTGAGTGCAGGGAGCTGGAGTTCCCCTTGAAGAAGATCCTCCAGTCTTTGTTCCATTCCAGAAGATCCTCCAGTCCTTGCTCCAACCCTTGTGGACATTGCAAGACCAGACATTTTCCTGGATTGTGTGGAGCAATAAGAAGAGACCAAAGCCTTTTTGGATGAGCCTGGAGGTGCAGCATGACTTTGGCAAGGTGTGCTGCAGCTCTTCTGTGCACACTGCAACCAAGTTCTCCTGGGCTCTGCTGACTGGGGTCTGAGTCCTCCCCATGGTGTTTTGCACTTGCACAGGCCTGCAGAAAGAGCCAGCTGTTTCTGCTGACTGAGCCTCCCATGCCATGGCACGACCCTCTCACCTGGACAAGCTGGCTTGTGTCAGGAGTACAAAACACCACTGGGGGATGGAAAACACAGGGATGGGCTCCCTGTCTGTAACTCACCCCCCTTGTTTTCTCAGCAAGCTGTTGTGCTGTGTGCAAGGGAAGCATGATCCCTTCTCTCTGACTCCCCTGCTTGCAGCTGTGGGATCACACATCCTGTCAGGGCAACAGGGGTGCTCCTTTCCCCAGATCAGGAGACTGCTCCTGACAATCAGCCACCCAGGCTGGATGGCTGAGCAAAGCTGGTGGCACCTCCCAGGACACCTCACACCTCACCTGACCTGCTGAGGGCTGGAAGTTACAGTGTGAGGTGGGGACGAGGTGGGAAGGCAGCAGTGAGTACAGGTTACAGGATCAGTCATGTCAGTCACCCTCAGGATCCCAGAAAAGGCGCTTTATGAATTAAATAGGTTTTATCACAGCTGTACTGATGCCTCTTTTTCTTCCTGCAGGTGATAAATGCCATTGAGCAGGACTATCGGCTGCCACCACCCATGGACTGCCCAAATGCCCTTCACCAGCTGATGCTTGACTGTTGGCAGAAGGATCGGAACCACAGGCCCAAATTTGGGCAAATTGTCAACACCTTGGATAAAATGATCCGAAATCCAAACAGCCTGAAAGCCATGGCACCTCTCTCCTCTGGGTATGTCTCTGTCCTCCTCTTGTCCTTTGGCTTCTCTGAGCAAGTCTGGTGTCCTCTGGGTCCTGGTGGTACCACCCTTGCACCTCTCAGAGCTACTTTAGAGCTTGACCTGTGTTTGATCCTTTATAGGGAGAGCATTAAAAGATCATAGAATTCACAACTCGGGGTGGAAGAGACCTTAAAGTCCATCTCATTCAACCCCTGCAATGGGCAGGGACAGCTTCCACTATCCCAGCTTGCTCCAAGCCCCATCCAGCCTGGCCTTGGACACTGCCAGGCTTGGGGCATCCACAGAGCAGGGATGCAGATGTCAAGGTCCCTCTTCTTGGGCAGCTCTGGTGAGCACAGGCAGCTCTTGCACAGTGCACTCTGCACATAGAGGAGCACCTTGGTTTCATGTACATGGGGATGCTGGGGTGGTGGGATTGTTCTGTTATTCCAGTCCCACTGCACTGGGAGCAGATAAAGCCCCGTGAGGCAGTGTGGAGTTTTCCTGGGTTGGGTGGTTTGCAGCAGCTTGTGGGAAGTACTGCTCCGATATGAGAATGAGCTTTCTCCCAGTGAGCAGCCAGGATTTAAAGCATCCTATCATCTCTGATGGCTGCTGCCTCTCCTGCAGGAACTGATCCAGAAGGGCTTCCCTGATGCTCTGCACAGTGCTTCCCTTGGCAGAACAGTGATTTCTGGGTGGAATTCCACACTACAGGGCAGTGTGTGCACTGTGAATGATGCTGATCCTGTGCCTCCAGCTGCTGGAGGGTGCAGGAGCAGTCATCCTTGCAGCTCTTGGTCTGTCACTGCCCATTTCTGTGTTTCAGGATGAACCTCCCCCTCCTTGACCGCACAATCCCGGATTACACCAGCTTCAACACTGTGGATGAATGGCTGGATGCCATCAAGATGAGCCAGTACAAGGAGAGCTTTGCCAGTGCTGGTTTCACCACCTTTGATGTAGTATCTCAGATGACTGTAGAGTAAGTGCCCAGGCTTTGAGTCCCAAAGCACAAGGAAAAGTCCCAGCAGTTTTGCAACAATTGGTATTGAATTAGATTTTGTTTTCATGTGATGTAGTTTTACTTTTATGGAATTGTTGCTTTGTGGAGCCGCTTCTAATCTAGTCATTCTCTAGACCATGTGTCTGTCACTCTGCACCTGCAGAATTCCTCTCCCCATTACCACTCTGTGAAAATGAACACCCCTGCCAAGGGTGTCCAAACCCCTCCATAGGACAAACTGAGATTTCAGGCTGGCATCAGACAATTCTCCAGAGCACTTCTGAACTCTGCAGTCCTCTTGGATGGCTGATGTATTGATGGAGACAAGCATGGTGCAAAGATGTGCCTAAGAAAGGCAGAATCAGAGTGGTTACAGTTGAAAGGGACCACTGGAGGTCATCCAGTCCAACCTTCCTGCTCAGCTTCTAGAGCTCCTCACTCAGGATTATATCTGTGGAAAGAGATTTCACACGCATTCTGGGCATTGATTTCTTCCCATTGCCTCTCATCCTGTTGCTCTGCCACACGGAGCAGAGCCTGGCTCCAGCCTCTGCCATGTCCCCTCACACACCTCGATAAGATCCCCTTGTGGGGGGTGGTTTCAAGTTTGTGCTGCATCCACTAAAAGTGTCCTGCATCTACAAAAATTATCCTGCAATGACAATTGACAAGTGACAATCAGCACCTGATTATTAGCAGGTTCTTTAGAGAAATCAGGCAGCTGAAATCCCAGTTCTGGAGGGTTTTGAAATCCCTTGTGGCTGACTGGGACTTTGATGCCTCTGCTGAAAGATTTGTGGCTGGCTGCAGGTATCTGTAGAAACCCTCAGAAAGGGCCAAGCATTAGAGCCATCTCTAAGGGCTGCAGTGTCTCTGAGCGTGGTGGCCAGGGAGGATTTTGGATTTGTGCTTAAACCCAGATCTTAAATCTACCAGTGAGTCAGAATCCATTCTCTCAAACAGCCACTGTGATTTTCTTTGGCTTTTTGTTCTTATTTGCTGCTGGGAAGTTCCCGTGGCAGTTCTGTTTTGGGACATCTGTAGTGCAATTCCAAGGCCCTGAGGACAGTTTTGGCACAGTATTGGCTGGGTTTATACAACAGAAAGAGAAAGAGCTCACTGGAGGGGACTCTCTGAAGGGTAGGGAGGAACTTCGACCAAAGGGAGGTATCAGACCACAACCCACCCCTGCCTGGGTTCTGCTGTTTGCAATATCTGACAGCAGGCAGGATGCAGACAATCCAGCTAATGCTGGCTGTTCTTTCACAGACATCCTGTGTCCCTTAAACACCAATTCTCCCCGTCCCTTACCATGTCCCTCAAATCCTCTCCAAGAGCCTTCACCACAATTCCAAGGGCATCCTCAGCTCATGTCCCACTAGTTTTGGCAAACTTCCACATTCCTCACCTGCTTGGCTGAATGTGCAATAGAGAGGACACTCCCAAGTCCTTTTTCCTTGGAAAATTGTGGTGTAACAGGACTTGACACCACCCCTGATGTTCACTGGCCTTTGCAGAAGCTGATAGGAATGTCAGTGGAGCTGCTGATTCATCCAGATTTGGAAAGCCAGCAAAGTGTGAATGTTTCCTGAAAACTGACTCACTTCCCCAAATCCACATGGTCTCAACACTGACCTACTGGAAGAGATTTTCACTGGTTTGTCTGGACACCTGGGACACCAAATTATCTTTCAAGAGTCATAGAACCATTTGAGTTGGAAGGGACCTTAAAGCTCATCTTAAAGCCATGGGCTTTAAGGCTCTTTCCACTATCCCAGCTTGCTCCAAGCCCCATGCAGCCTGGTCTTGGACACTTCCAGGGAAGGGCCAGCCTCAGCTTCTCTGGGCAGCCTGAACCAGGGCCTCACCACCCTCTGAGCAAAGAATTCCTTCCCAATATCCAATCAAATATTTAATGTCTAGGGCAGAAGGCTTGGAATCACAGGATTGTGCAGAGCCACAGTCTTATTCTGGTTTACAGACACAAGTGAAGAATTTTTTGCACCCTTTGGAGCTCCCCTCTACCCTTCTTTGCCCAATAACCTCCACTCTAATAATGGCAAAGATTTTGCCATCTTCCCCTTAAATGTCTGTTCTTAACACTCAAGGACAAAAGGCACCTGAAATTCCTTCAGGTCAGATTTGGGTCACGTGGTCTCCCATCCCCTGATGGGAAGAAGAAGAAGAAGAAGATCTGAAGATTTCATGACTGAGGTTTATTCGCCAAGGGGGAGATGACAGCAAACTCAGCTGGAGACACAGATAGGACCAATTTAGAGCCACACTCAGGCTCTCGGCATGACTTTGATTTCTCTCAGATGTCTAAATCTATAAAAAATAGCTGTCCAGAAATGAGATTGCCATGACTTAACAAAAGGATAAGTGTAAAAATTGATCACTTCATGGTCTTATCTGCTCAAAGGAAAAGCATCATGAACAGCATCATCTGCATATGGGGGTCAGATCTACACTGAGGAGGGGCAGCACATCCCTGTCCAATGTCTCCAGGGGTAGAAAAAATGGGTTAGTGTGTCACAAAATGAAAGAAAATCAAAAATACAAAACAGTAAATGGGTAAAAAATTTAAGACAAATTGACTCACAAGCAGAGAGCAGAGCCTGTGGCATTTTGTTTCACACTCTCTGTTGAGGTTCAGGACTCTGAGGGTGCTGCAGGTAGGTAGAAAGTGCAAAGATTGGACAATAAGCAGGAAAAAGTGAAAGAGTAGAGGTTTCACAGGGTTTGCATCTGTTTGTTGCACTCAGGAAGAAATTGTGCATACTTCAGCTCTCTAAATACTGTTCTCATGGACTCAGAATCAGGGAATCATAGAATCACAGAATCACAGAATGGTTTGGGTTGAAAGGGATCTTAAAGATAATTTTAAATACCATCTATGATCTTGTTCTGCTGTGAGAAAATACCTCCTGATATTTGTGTTTGTTTCCTTTCCTCCCAAAGGGACATTCTGCGAGTCGGGGTCACTTTAGCAGGACACCAGAAGAAAATTCTGAACAGTATCCAGGTGATGAGAGCACAGATGAACCAAATCCAGTCTGTGGAGGTTTGATAGCTGCCTGTCCTCCCACTCCTCCTCCTCGAGGCCCTGCTCCCCTTTGCCCCTGTATGTCCAAGCTCCAGTTCCTGAGTGTTCTGCATGGACCAGAGACAGGCAGCTGCTCTGAGGATCACGGCAGCAGGAGGGAACACCCTGTCCTCAACAATGAGAAGTTGCCAAGAGCTTCTAGAATTTAAGCAATGGAAAAAGGGAACAAAAAAAAAGACAACTATTTTGAAAAAAAGAAAAAACAAAAAAACAAAAATGAACAAACTACAAAATATTTTTAAATAATAATAAAGCAATTGCATTCTTGAAAAGGGCTCCAAGACCAATGGGAGTCTCCAAAGGAAGAGAAAAGAGCAGCTTCATGTTTCCTCTTGCACAAGGCTGCTGCAGCTGGACCCAGGCACCTCTGGAGCAGTGGGACTTCTCCAGGAAGAGGAATGCAAGGAAAGGCCACGAGAAGCACATCTCTTCCTCCCGTGGGCTCTGGGAATGCTGTGAGCCAGGCCCTTCCCCAGAGCCCCTGTGAGCAGATCAGACGGGGAGAGCTGAAGCTCTTTGGTGCTGTGAAACCAAGTGCATCTCAGAAACTGATGGACTCCTTCAAAAGCTGAAGACTTTTTTTAAAAAAAAAAACAAACAAAAACACAACAAATAAACTAAGACTCGAGGAGGCTGTTTCCAACGAATGAGAAGGAATCTGTGACGCCTGGGGGGGTGGGGATGGGGAAAACCAATCCTTTTTACATCTCTTATTTTCTCTTGTCATGGAACAGTTTTGTGAGTGACAGTTTCCTAAGGGTCCGTCCATCCACCCTCCAATGGCATCGTGTCTCATACATATCATTGCTCAAGACTTTTAGTGATATCCTTTCTAGATGCCAATGATCTTTTCCCAGAAGACTTCCCAAGTACAGTATGTAGTAGTTTTTGATTACAAATGCTGACGTGTACCTTTATTTTTCGGTTGTCATTGTTGGGAGATTTGTCCTTTTACATTGTTTTGTTAACATCAATTTGTGAGTTTGGGGTTGGAAATTTTCGGTTGGTTGGGGGTTTGGTTTTTTTTTAATGAAAAAGAAATGACATCTCCAAGCATCATATCATCCAAGAATTTAAATCCCTTCCCTGTGGAAGGAAAAATTGCAGCTTATTGACCATATGCCAGGAGAAAAAGGTTTTTTATATGCACATTTCCTCCTGTTTGCTTATTTGTTCTTTCCAATTGGTCGTGGCACAACAGATGTTAGTGGCTGTTGGGGTTCCAGGTGTTTGCCAAAGTGAAATGGCCACCAGCTCAACTCGGGGGTGAGCAGCATCACAGGGGGGTTGGGAGGGAAATGTGGGAGGGTGGAGGGTTTTTGTGAGGGAATGATGACTCCACAGCTGGCTTCAGAGCCCTTTGGAAGTGTCTGGCTGCTGAGGAAGGTGCTGGATTGGTGCATGAGAAAGGCAGGACAAGCCCAGTTCTCTCAGAGGAGCTCGTGGCACAGCATTTTGGAGTGGGGATTGTGTTATCTCCAGGTGAGGATGGGTCCCTGCAGGTGCCAGGCTGTGCAGGTGGGCTCTGTGCCTTGGGGACCCTGTCCCTTCGTTGGGTGATGCAGCTTCAGGCTCAGCCCCTCACTGAGCGCCCAGGACAGCAAAAATTCCAATCCCAGCTCTCCAGAGGCAAAATGCTGTGGGTGAAGCTGAATGATCAATCAATAGGTTTGTAAATAACTGAAAAAAATTTCTTTAGTTACTGACCAGGTCTTTGGGATGTGTGAATGCCACCAGCTGAGCGCAGGGAGGTGCAGATGAGAATCAGGTTGTTCTCCATGCTCAACACCACCTTGCATCCTTTGAAGCATTCCACACGCGGCATTTTCCCACCTATCTCCTGGTCATGGCCTCAGGACTGGTGTTTACAAGCCCTTATCTGCCATTGCCATGTCATTCCTGGGCTCCTCCTCTTGTTTTTGGCAGCAAGGAGTTGAAGGCACGTTCACTGGGAGCTGCCTGGCTGTATTTTCCAGGAGCTGAATCCAAGAGGAAGTGTGTCTGCTGTGGATGAAAATCCCAAGCTGTCTAGACCTCTGTGGCCAGACACCATCTCCCCAGACTGCTTGTAAAATATGAGGCCCTTTATTAAATACTTCTAGCATTTCCTACTGCCAGACCAGATCCACCAACAAAGCCCTTGCGAGTGGCACCAGAGCAGTCCCTACAAGAGAGACTTGTGAGCTCTTGTCCTGTCCCAGGGTTTGGTGCTCCAGCAGCAGGGCCTTTTCAATTGTCCCCCCAGGGCCTGTTAATCCAAAATCTCTAGTGCAGTGTTGTGTTTGTGTTTGCATCCAGTTCAGCCCTGGGTTTGAGCTCTGGGCTTGCCTGCACTGATGGGAACCCGGCAGGAGGTGTGTGCTGGGTGCCAGGGTCCTGTCCTGAGCTCAGTGCCCACAGGGCATGCCCTGGGACAGCCCCAGAGTGGTGTGGAGCAAGGGGCAGTGGGCTGCAGGCATGGGGTGTGCAGGTGGTACCTGGATGGGCAGCCATGCCCTAAATCCAGCCTGGTTTAGCCTTTGTATCCAAAGGGATACTTGGAATGCCTTTGCATCCAAAAAGCACTTGCTCCTGGTCAGGTGACGGGCTCAGCTTTGAAAGGACATAAAAAATCACTGGAGTTGACTAAACCACAGGAAGTGTTTGCTGAGGGCACACAGGGAAACAGGAGCTCCCAGGTGTGCCCAGTCCCAGTGTGGTGTGGGAGCCTCCCCTGGTGGGTCTGTCCCATGTCGTGGCTGCTGTGCTTTGACAAGGAGCAGTTGGCACTGTGCCCCAAAGGCATGTGAAGCTCTCTGATGGCAATGCAGGCTGAGGACAGGATGGTGCTGTGCCAATGCCCAGCCACAGCCAGGAGTGACCTCGTGCCCCAGAGCTCTGCCAGGAGAGCTCTGCCTCCAAAACTCACCAGCAGATTCCTGTGGGGCAGCCATGTGGAAGGAGCACATGATGCCCCTCACTTGTCCTCCCCAGACAATTCCTGACTGTTCTCTGCCACCCCCTGCACTGCTGCAGACACTAAGGAGGAGCAATGTCCAGGCAGCATCCCTACAGAGCCACCCAAGCCTTGGAAGGGCACTTCAGGTCTTCTTCATTTGGAGACATTTTGTCTCAATGCACTGAATCTCCTCGCTGGCTGCTTCAGACACATCTACCTGCCAGACCCAGCCCACTGTGAAGGACAGGTCCCAGTGCCACAGCCCCCAGAGCTGTGGCAGCCATCTGCAGGACAGAGAAAGCACATCCCTGTCTCTTCTTCTGACCAAAAATCACACAGTGGTGGTGGTACTGAAAGTAACACCTTCCCATCTGTTTATCCCAGACACGGCTGTGACATCTGTGTTTGGCTGTGTAGGACTAATGGAGAGCTGGACTAAAATAGGCATGGTCCAGAAAACACTGCAGTTTTCTGCATCCTTCAGCTCTCCTGGGAGCACGAGGAACCGAGTTCCTGTCAAGTGCTTTGGTTGTAAACGCCTCTGGCACATGCTGCAGAGTGAGGGCAGAGGCACTGGAGTGACAATAACATTTATTTCATGGGTCTCCAATGTACTGCTATGAAGTGGGAGTCTAATGGAAAACTCAGCGTGTTCCAAGGGGAAAAGGGGAAAAGGCACTTGCTAACATTGACACTGTGAAATGCTGTTGTGCATGTGCATGTGTGCATGTGTGGGTACGTAACAAAAATCATCACATGGAGATTTTCAGGCAGCTTGTTGCAATTTTCACATTTCCCCTCTACCTTTCAATCTACCTCCCAGCCCTTCCCTTCTCCCCTTCCCATTTCCTGCTGAGGATCAGCCTGTGGAGGGTGTTCAGTGGGACTGCTGAGCAGGTTGGAAGTTCTCAGTGATAAGTTCAAATCTTGCAGAGCATCACAGGGCAGAGCAGGCAAAGCACATGTAGACAGTAAAAAGTTAAAATATGTTTTCTGGAATTACAGCCCAGGGGTGTGAAGGAGAAAGGAAAAACAGCCCTGTAAGGCACAGCACTGCCATAAGGAATCACTTGTCCTGGTGGCTGTGGGGACACAAAACAGGGCACTGTGAGCTGCACATCCCCTCCCTAAAGGGTCTGCTCTCTCCAGTAAACCCTCAGAACTGCCTTTCATGAATTAGTGGGGATTTGTGCTTTTCAGCAGCTGAGGAGCTCCTCCTCTCCATAACATCCTCAGTGCCGAGCAGCAGCTCCCAAAGGCAGCAATCCATGTTGGGGCTTCCATGTGACCCAGATAAACGTGGCTGTCCCAGGGTTTCCCACTGCTGCAGGGTTCCTTTAGTGCTGTAATCCCAGGGTGGGCTGGGATCCACCCCACGGCTTCACTGCAGTTGTACAGCAGGGTCAGCTCATGGTGAGGGAGAGCCACGTGCAGGGCAGGGGCTGGAGGACCTGGGGACACGGCAGAGCTTCATCCTTGTGAGCTCTGCCTTGCAAGAGCAGCCCCACAGGGACTGCTGGCTCCTCTTAGCCCTTTCCCCAAAGCAGGACCTGCTCTCTCCACTGGCTAATGAGCACTGCCCAGAGCAGCTCCCTCCTGGCCTGAGCTGAGCTGAGCTGAGGAGAGGAGAGGGACCTTCATCAGCATCAGCTGCTGGCTGGACTACAGGGCTTTTCCCACACTCCCTGAAGCTGTTCTTGGAATTTGGGTTAAAGGGAAGGTTCTTTCCCAGGAATCCTCACCCAGGCTGTGGATTAGCAGTGGCCTGTAGAGAGAACCTCTTGGAGGGTTTGAGCAGCTGAGGAAACTTCTTGTTATATTTGCCAGGCTGATTTATATGAATCCTGGAGTCAGGGCTTGAACTCTGCTGCATCGTTAACAGTTGTATCCTCTGATGATGCAATAAATCTGGGACTGCCTTGGATGTACAACAGAGTGCTGGAAGTGTCACTGCTGTCTGGTTTGGTTTAGTGGAGTTTATTGTTTTAATGTAAATCATCATCTTTCCTGCATGTCTGACTCGAGGCTGATTTAATGTAGGTCTTTTTCCATCCTCAAAAATGTTACATATTTGCAAGTTCTTCACATACAGGATTCAACTTTTTTTATCTACGGTCACGTTTTGGCCTTTTTTATTTAAACTTGTTCAGGACGTCTTTGCTTCTTGTAACTCTTTACCCTTCCCAGACACAACCTTGGCCTGTGTTTGCTTCCATATGTGTTCCAAT